CAAAAGAGCACCCTTCCCACTTGTAATTTGCTTTCCTTCCTGATCTGATTCCTGCTCCTGCTTCTGTTCACAAGCTCAAGGTAATGCTGCACTATTATAGAAACACAAAGAAGCCACAATCTACCAGGAGATTTGAACCTTGTATATAAGGTTCAAATATATATATATAAGTATATACTTCATGTATATAAGATGTGAAGAACCCTGAAAAAAAAAACAACCCACCACACAATGCTCTTTAGGAACTTACATTACTTTCCTAACTTGATTTAAATTAATGGAAATTGTCAGTGAATTTCAGGCTGAGTAGGATCTGAACGTCCAGTCTTAAATGCAATAACAATAATTTAGGGAATAAGTATTTGCATATGAAGAGTACTTCTTCATGTAATATCTGTCCAGCATAGGGAAAAGTAATTATATTCACAGCACACAAGTCTAACTGATAAGTGGTCTTTATACAAAGACGTCATTATTAAACCTTCTGTAAAGGATGTTACTTATCGTGGGATACATCTCAATAACGTCTGTGGTAGTGACTTTATATACCTGACCATAGTCAATACAGGAGAAGGCATAGCTCTAGTATGTGATTTAGCTTGCTTGTTTTAGACATCTATCTGTAGAATGAGATGCATTGCACATGTTTCTCCTGAAAGATTATAGAAAGAGCCTGAGGTTATAGACAACTACATTTAGTCAGATTAATATTAATCTTTCTTGTAGGTTAGTATCATCTAACTTCAGCGCCTAGAACAGTGATATTTGGTCCTCTCTGTATTCAGAGGAAAGAGAAATTGCCTTCAGAGAAGAGTTCATCGTCACTGTTGTAGATCTGTCTCAGAAAGGGATGAAACTCCCTTCAGAGATGCCTAACTTTCATTTGATTGTAGTAGGAACTGATATTGCAGTCTAGACTAAGCATCAGACTTTCAAAAGCCTAAGGTTAGGTGATATGAATACCACCTTTAATGGATGTCTATTATTTTACAAAACAGCATATACTGCATACAATAAAAATAATGAGTCACAAGCAGATATTAGTAAATTTTACAGAGGACACATGGTATTTGGGATAGCAGATGGATGCCACGTAACAGCTGATTAGGAAGGTACTCCCTAGTGTGTTCAAATATATCTGGACAGAAGGTACACAAACAGTATCGCAGCACACATGTGAACTCAGTGAAAAATTCTGGCCACACGCAATGTGGCTGGCCAGTCTCTGACATTCCTCTCTCCACATTCCTTTATGCCCAACACTGAATTCATGATTACTAACATCTGCACATTATACTGGCAGTGTATCATCATTTTCTGGCAGCTATGGATGCCAGTGAAAGACTGTAACACTGTGCTTAAGCCATGGGCAGTTGGGTGTAGTGGGGTCCGCACAGTTTATTCTGAGAATTTGCTGGATTCTTGGCTACTACAAATGCAAATAACTCTAAAACCACCACCACCACCAAGAACAACAAAAATCAACCTCTAGCCAGGTACCTTAAAATTATATTGTGTTTCACAGATTTTTCTTACAACCATTCAGATACACAGCACTGAAGAGTTTAAAAGCCAAACCAAATACTACCAGTAATAAAGAAACCAAACAGTAAAATTTGTGCAAACTATAATTACTAGCTGTTCTGTGCAGCTGCTTTGTCTTTAGTGTTTTCTGCCTAGTTTCCAGGGAAGAGATCAAAAACAAATTTTGGTGATACAATCCAGCTGACTTCAACCTCACCAGCACAAAGGCAACAATAAATCTGCCTTATTTGGCTACAAACTCATGGTACTGTTTTATCATTAGGAGGACACAAAGAAGGCGTTGTGCATCTGTAGACATAAACCTTGGTTTTCATACATTTAAGGTGCAGTGAACCCCACCACTAACAGGTAAAGCAAGGAAGTTTAAGGTGTTGCTGATTTAAGAACACTCAAATAACCCCTTGAATCAAACCTTAATGCAATGAACACAGCCTCCTGTCTTGTTGGGGAGTCTAAACACTCTGAGTTATAAGGATACTCTGCAATTTTTCTTGGTACTTTCTATTACTCAGAATTGAGTTTAGATTGATGAATACTTCCATAACAACAGCAACAGCAACAAGTGTGTGTCTTATCAAACTGTGACTCACCAATGGTTTCAGGGTTTTGTATATTTTTAGGTAGAACTGGTGGGTTTTTTTTCCCTGAAAAATAAAAATTCAGCACCAAAAATTTTAAAAAGAGAAGAAAAAACATATTTTTCATGAAAAGCAGGGGAAAAAAAATTCTGAACAGAACCTGGGTGTCTGGTTTTGACTCTTCTCTTGCAGTGGAGTATAGTATTTTCACACAACAGCACTGAAGTGGAGGCATTGCTGCAGTGTGAAGTTCTGGGGCTGCTAACTATTGAGGTCATCTTCATTTTTGGGTGGAGACCACAGGGAGGGAAAAAGGAAATGAGGAAGTTCTTAAGAAATTATCTGACCTGAATTTTCTGTGAAAGTGATTTATATGTCTATATTACTAACTTTATTGGATAAAACAAGATTTGTACCACTGACAGTACAAAACCAGCTATATCATTGATTTCTGCTTTCAGTTGGACAGTGATTATTACAGCACAATGAGAGATGTTGTTACCTTTTTTAAATGGTCAGCAGTGTATGTTATGTAGTTCAGGAATGGCTAATCTTTTCTTGCAAGGATCTCTCTCAATACTGAAAAATCTTCCCATAGCCCAAAGTCACACGTATCCTATGGCAGAGGAGTCAAGAGCAGTCCACAGACAGAAGATATCTGTGCTCCTTAGACAGTTATTTATGCAACACTTTATTGTGGACTGAGAGAGGGATGAGCAGACAGCTGAGTCCTGAGAGACCTGCTGACGTTGGCTTAAACAACCAGTGCTGGCTCATTTCCTCTCTTCTGGTGCAGATCCAGAAGGCTTTCCACCAGGAGAGCTTGCTTGCAGCCATTCACATCACAGTTTCTGCAATGGATCCACACTTGAACTATTCAGATGCCACAGATTTGCCCATCTGGTACAGTTAAACCTACGGCTGTCACTCCCACACTAAAACGCAGCAATGACTTTCTCCACCTTGACATCTTGCTGAGCTGGCTGTATCTGATAATGCAATATCTGCTCATAGCAAGGGAATGTGGATTCTGATGAAAATACTGGAACTCTTCATGAATCTGCCTCTGCTTGAGTCTCATTATTCACCTTTATATCAGCGCTGATCTCTGGATTGCATTGCTGTTGATGTTTATTTCCTAACCTGTCACAGCTAGTATCACTTGTCCATTTCTGGTGTTGCATACTTGCCATTGGTACCTCTATCCTGTGGATAAACAGCCTCTTTGTGATTCAGCTGTATTAACAGAAAAGGTTACCATTGCCAGTTTAGCCCTGCTGTCTCTTTTCCTTCTCTTTGAGATTATTCTCCCTATTAGGTCTCCTTATAGAAGTGCTGTTACAAGTACTCTGTAATTTGCATCAGTCAAAATGACCTGGAATAAAGAATACTTGCTATTTGCCATTTTAAAGTAACCCAATTTGTTTTGATTAAAGTGTCTTCAGAATCAGGGACTGAGAGGAGGCGGCCTCTAACAAACTGTGCTGGTTTTGGCTGGGATAGAGTTAATTTTCTACATAGTAGCTAGTATGGGGCTGTGTTTTGGATTTGTGCTGGAAACAGTGTTGATAATACAGGGATGTTTTAGTTACTGCTGAGCAGTGCTTACACAGAGTCAAGGCCTTTTTTGCTTCTCACACCACCCCATCAGCGAGTAGGCTGGGGGTGCACAAGAAGTTATGTTAGGGAGTATGTTAGGGAGTCTTTCAGTTGTCTAGAGCTGAACGATTGTGATGATGACATG